TTAATAATCTAAGAACAAAGTCTTCAAATTTATTAAGCATACTTCAATTTATTCAGTATCCTAGGCAAATTTAACTGTTGAAGAGATGTTAAGGTGGAAGCATAATATTCTTATTTAAGTAACCTGATACCTTAAAGGTAGGAATCCTACCAGATTCTCACATTCTATGTTTATTAATCCAAGAATACTGTTAGAGAATATGTACATTATATGTTGATAGGATTATAGTAGGCAGAAAATGCCTTTTGAGTCAAGAAAAAAGTCTTAGTTTAAATCTGTGTATAATTTAAATTCAATAAAATGAAACACAAAACTTTCAGAAATATTTGATGCTTAACCTATTAATTCTTTTTTTTTTTTTGTACTGGGGATGGAACTCTAGACCTCGTGTTTGCCAGGCAGGTGCTTATGCTACTGAGCTAAATCCCTATTAATTATTGTTCAGTATTTGATAACATCTGACTATTTCAAAGAATGATGTTTGCTAAAAATCATACCTTATATACTGTAGCTCTCAAATACTTTAATATTAACCAGATATTTATTTTAAAAAGGTGTATTTCCTTCTAAGGAACATACCTAGCTTGATCTATGGCATGATGTCTTCCAAAGACATTTCCTGTTTTGCATACTCTGTTTCTAGAAATAAGTGCAGTATTGAAAGGGAATGCTTTACTAATTTCAAACTGAGTGTTAAAATAATGAGTGATGGTTAAAAGAATTTCAAAGACATGTTGAGACTTGTATTACTTTTGCTTAGGGAATTTGTTGAAATTTAAAAAATGAACAATAGGATATAAAACCAAAATTCAATTATGATAGGAGAATTTATCGTTAATATTATAAGCCAAATACATTGTTATATCTACCTGCAAGATAATTTCAGATGTTATTATTTGAAAACTTTGTTCATTCACTAATAAAATCATTAAAATATTATACATTATATTTAGAGACTGTCTGTACAAAGTGCTGCTAGGTAAGAGGTAGTTATCCTTCCTTCCAGTTTGTTCCTATAATTAATACAGAGATTGGGTTATATCTAAATTTTAAAAATGGGAAAAGTCATTTGAATTTACTTACATTGTACTTACTTGCAGTATATCTATGTATCAGAAAGTAAACGTATCTTTTTTAACAGCAACTTTTGAAAAACTTCATTTGACAGGGCCTATAAATGCACATTTTTTGATAAGCATGCACTTAGAGACACACAGGTAAACAGACACTGCTCTTATGTCATTTTATACTTTGATATCACAATAGGGACGGTGTCGTAATAGTGACAGCTCTAGTGCTCAGTCATTGCTCAGAACACATGTTTTAACAGGTGCATGGGTTAGGTAGACTCCAAGAGAGGCCTTTCTCTATCTACTTAGTTGACAATATATTCGATACTGCATTTTTAGGGGTTGTTTTGGCAGTATTTCCCAGATATTCTGTAGTAACTTCAAGATACCATTGTTAATCATTTAAAGATTAAATATTTAAAGGAATATTTGAAGAGTAAGTATCTTTGTTTCTTCAAATATGTGATACCAATTTTTATTATGGGGCAGGAAAGTTAGTAACTTACTTAAAAACATGCATGGACATTTTGGTTAAAATTTAGACAATATTAGATCCTAGATTTTTTCTCTACCTATATGCTCAATTTCATGGGCTGTAATTTTATAGTCATGAAATTTTACTTAAATGGAGTTTTACAAATAGTAGAACATTAATCTTAAAGATGATGCTGACATTGATGATACTACTTTGTGTACTAGGATTTTATTTTTACTATTACTTAATTTACATATAAAACTAAAGAATTAAATCAGTGTGAGAAAATATGTGCCATAAAAGTAAAAACTCTCCAGATGATATTTTAAAGCTATACTATTTTGATGAAGAGCTTCCTAAATGTTTCATAATTCCTAAAGGTATTCTTACATACTGGATATTTAGTTTCAGTAGATTTGTTATGTCCACATGAAAAATGTACTCAGTACTCTTAAATAAGATTGACTACAGGATTTGTATATTTTAGCTCACTATGAAAAAAGTCCTCTTTTAAAATCAGAGATTTTACATATTTATTTATAGAAGTAGTTCTGGGTCCACTATAACATACTAAAATGGCATGCTGAAGGGCCAGAAGCATAGATTTTTATTTTAAATTACTCATTGTTTCTGTTCATTTCCATTTTTCCCTGTAGCCATGGTTGACATTTCATAGAGAGTGAGTTGGTATAGGGCTAGAAAATACGTAATTATAAGAATCACCTGTTCTTGAATTTCATGTTGTATACTAGCCATGACTCAGGAAGAATTTTTACAGGTGTTTGATTTAGAATGAGAAGTTTTCTTCTTTCATGACCTGTGATTAAAGTGTGGAATTTTGGTAAAGAAATAGGATGAAGATTCTACATAATTTAGATGTGAACCAGATTTGGTGGAGCAGTGTCTATATATATCATACCTATATCATAAAGTAGTATCATATATAATTAGAAATATAATTTAAGTAAACCTCAAAAATTTAATTTAAAGCATGGTAAATGTGAAAAATGCATCAAAATACATATTAAGAGAAATTTTGCTTCACTTAATGATCCTCAGGAGAATTCCAATAAAAAATCTATTATAACTCCATTGGAACACATTCTTCTATTTTACTGTGTTATGAATGTGATTGTAGACATTTGTCAGTTGCTATGTTACTGTAAGTTGGAGGTAAGGGCAGAGGATAGACTATATTTTTTCATAATTGAAAATGAAACACTATCACAATACTGCTTGGCTAGTAGCTTTACTGTTGCACTAGCCTTTATGAATCTTTATGGTTAAAATTGTAATTTGTACATTTGTAAATTTTATATTACAATTAATTATCTGAGGAATTATACACCTAGCTCTTGCTGGTAATTTGTGGGGGCTATTTTATATACTACATTAATGAAAACGTTTTTATTTTGCGTAGTTCAGTTTGTGTATGAAAGTCTGATGAGATATTATATATATAAAATATGCAGTTTTCCTCTGCAGTATAAATATAAATTATATTATTCCAAAGTCATGAATGCTATTGTTTTATAGTAAGATGGTATGTGCTGAGCAAAACATTTTACTTTTGTCATTTGATGGGTCAAAAACACAACTGCTTCCTACCAGGGCTTTGTTATTTTTTATATCTATACCATTAATTAAATTTATGTTACAATGATTTGATGACAGCCTAGATGTCATCTTCTACTTTACATTTTCAAATGTCTTATATTGATTTGTAAAAAGTATTAAAATTATTTATATATACCTATATGTTCTAAAATATTTAGATTTTATTTTATTTTTTTTTATTTTTAAAAAAAATTTTATCGGTACCAGGGATGGAACTCACAACTGTCTGCTTGCAAGGCAGGCAAATAGATTTTAAAGCATCACCTGAAATATATTTTTCCAAGTAGGTAGTTTTGAATCTCCAATTGATTGGTGCATTAACTTTATATTCTATCTTCATATTTATGCTATTTTATTGTTTATACTTATTGTCAGTGTGTTTCCAGTTTTTAGTTTTTCTCCCCACTCATTGTCTCTTGAACACTTGGTTTAATTCCTGTAATAACTATTCTTCTAATTGTATTCTGCATCCTCTGTGGTGAAGTCTCCTTCTGTTGTCTTCTCTCCCCTTAAACATTTGATTTGTTATTCCTCTAATACTGTTTTAAAATAAGGGCTCCATAAATATTGGTTAGACTACAATGGTGAAAGAGTAACTTCTTCCTGTTTGCTACTACTATGAAGTAGTAACAGGTAAAGTCTATTTGCACAACTGTGTTCTTTTTTGGCTCCTTTTCTCCTTTCTTTCCAATTTGTAAACAAAAATTTTAGTCCTCTTTTTCCATATCTTTCACTTTTCAAAACTTTTAAACCATCATCTCTGCATGATGTACTATATTCTTTTCTCCAGACAAACATGCTTGCTGAGATATTCATTCTCTGGCTGCTTTCTGGATACAACTTTAGGGATTTCACACCATTATTTCCAACAGAACTTGTTCATGTCCAAACTCATAATGTTCCTCTTTTTGTGGTTCATTAGTTGAGGCACCATTCATTTTTATCCTTGTCCAATCATTAATTGGTCATTATACCTCTTAGGAAATGTTGAACTGTTCTTTTTCCTCATTAATGTTCATAAATGTATTGTTAGTATTCCTGCATCTAATCACCTTCAAGTCATCTCATCCTATAGAGTACTGCCAGATTTTACTTCTTAAACTATCACTTTTTGTTATGAATTCTCTTTACTGAAAAATTTTATGAGCTGCTCACTGTCTTCAGAAGTGGTTCTTGAAAGTTTTTTTTTTTTTTTTGATAAAATCTTACATGGAATTTAAACAAGTGAAACATTAACACTAGAGCTATTTTAATGAAAACTTCTTAAACTTAGGACTTAGCTGCAAAATATTCTGTGGTCATTTGCATGATTTCAATTACACAAATTCAATACTATTTGAAACTTATTAGTTTAAAAAATAAAATTCTTATTTAGGATTTAACCCCATTTACTCAGTGTTTGCTATATTCAACTGTTTTATTTAAATTCCATTTTTGTGGTTGTTTTCTATGATATTTAGTGCTTGGGATGCTATTAAGTCAACATTTGGCTTTTAAAAATCCTGTTCCTATTTTGTAAAGGCAGCTCAAGCACTCACTGACATATGAAGAGGTATTTGTGAATGAAAGGAGTTAGGTATCTTGTTCCATTACCTATGTAACCTGAGGAAGTATTTTTTTCCTTTTTCCTCATTTTTTGATAGTATAGCTGTAACACATTTAATTATTAAGAAAGCAGATGTTACGTTTTTATGCCTAAAGTGAATCATTTTAAGCATATGGAAAAGATGGACTCAAGATTATTGTTTATCTTATATATTGAGTCCATAATAATGTCCATATGACCAAAATTAATATCTTTGAAGCATACATTGTTACAATTCTTATTTTTCTTTTAGGTCCTGCAGCATACAATCCTGTTTTCAAGAAATCTTGCCCCATACCTTTATGTTTTAAAGCATCAAAGCGTTTTGAAAATTCTAAAGAGGTCACTCCTGGACCAGCAACCTATGAGGTTTGTCAATAGTTTCACTCTTAGCCATGACACAAAAATGGGATGACTTTCACAAAGTGTTAACTATATATATGTTAAGTTTCTCCCATATATTTATTCATATACTCAGTAATCAAAATCAATTACTTAGTATAAAATTTAAAGTACTAATTTTATATATACATATATATATTTAATTTAAAGAAAAGGAAACAAAAAATACATGGAGATAAAAAAGGGTAGAAATGATACAAAATTACAGAAAAATAAATGGTAAGAAATTGCTGGTTGATAAGTTACATATTGTCATCTTAGAAATAGCTGTTCAGGTTACAAAATTAAAGTATTTAAAATGACATTCAAAAAGTGACACTGCCAACAGTTCTGCTCAATGATTGAACAAAACTCAGTAACATGGTTATCAGTCCTACACACTTGTTTTACATCTCAAAGAGGGTAAGATTAAACATATCAAAACAGAACAAAACAGTTAAAAAAACAATTTAAAGAAATACAGATTTCAAAGCAAGTCCACTGGAGATCTTCACAGTCTATCTAACTGTCTCTAGTTTCTTATAAATAGTTGTCCCCATCTTCATCCACATTATATACATATTGCATATTATAGAACTAATCAAATAATTACAGGATGATGAAGGATTTTTAGGTCTTCAAGATCTAACATTGGGGAAGACAATAATAACTACTATCACATCTCTCATTCTCTTCGTGGTAGCCGTCCCCATCTTTACATATGTTGAAACTTAATTCAAGAGACTAGACTAATATCATTCTGGTCAGTGAATAATAGTATTGCTAGAATTTATATCATAATGCTACAAAATTAGCCTTGTGTTTCTTAGTGTCTCTTCTTCAGAGTATTTGTTCATTACACCTTGCATTATATAATCTGTTCCTGTAAATAATTTTTTAAAAAAATCTCATGTGTGAATTTCTACATATATATCTATCCTCCCTGTATTATAGCGAAAAACAAATCATAACAAGACAGCAAAACAAATTCCTAGAAAAACATGCAATGGATAAGACATATAAGACCACAATATAGGTGATCTTCCATAGTTAATATATTTTCTCTTATTATTTTCAATAGATTTGTCCACATCAGCTTAATATAAATATAGTATTACCTATTTGTATAAAAACACAACTTTAAAAGCATTGTAGGATTTGAGAGCTGTTAATAATTAATACCAGTATGGATATCCTTTACATCTTGTCATCTTCAGAGTAGTTGCCTCTACTTTTAGGGTTGATACTAACAAGGCAAACCTGCGGTCTTCTGAATTGGATTCAATTAAGATCAGTCATAGTAAGACAATATAAGTAATATAGGATTTCATTTTAAGTTAATAGGAAAGTAAGGATAGTTACCATGGTATAACCTGCTATTTTTGGGTCAGATGTCTGTGCCCTCAAATCTGACATGAGTGGACAGACCAGAACAAATTAGATTCAAACTAAATATGGTGATGAGACTACTATGTCTTTTAAATCCTGATACACTATTAACAATGATCCCTGCCTTTTTTTATAGTGTTTCAGAGCTGTCTATACTAAAGATTATAGCTTACCATGTCTGCCTCATGCCTGCTACTCCACTTTTCTGATATAATTTGTCCACCTTATTCCCTCATTCCACTGTCTGCCCCTTTCTTTGAGGCCTCTCTGCCACAGTTGCTGGAATCCTGGTATCTCTTCCTCTCTTTCTCTGGAATGTCCTTCAGCACTCTCTGTAGGGTTGGATTGGTGGCCACGAACTCCCACAGTTCCTCCTTGTCTTGGAAGCATCTTATTTATCCATTAATTTTGAGAGAGAGTTTTGACAGGTATATGAGTCTTGGTTGCATATTATTTTCTTTCAGGACTTGGAATATTTCTCCCCGTTCCCTTCTTGACTTAAGAGTTTGTGTTGATAAGTCTGTTGTTATTTTGATAATTTTCCCATTGTAGATAATCTGCTTCTTTTCTCTGGCTGCTTTTAATATTCTGTTCTTTTGGTGGATTTCTGGAATCTTGATTATTATATCTCTAGGCATAGATCTGTTTTGGTTGTATGTAGCTGGTGTTCTGTATGTCTCTTTTATCTGGATATCATTTCTTTTTGCTATACATGGGAAATTTTGCTTTAATATATCTGTGAATATTCTTTGTATTTCAGTTTTGGTTGCTCCTGCTTCCTCACTCACATTCTTTATTCTTAAGTTATGTATCCTTTTGTCATCTTCAAGCCTTTGAATTGTTTCTTTCTGGTTCCTTGTTATTTTTAAGAGTTTTTTTCTTTCACGATCATATGTCATAAATCTCTCTTCAAGTTTCAGAAGGCTGGCTTTAGTTTCTGTTAGGGCATTTTGCCAGTGTTCAATGGAGTTTTTAGTTTACTGGTAATCTCTTTGGATCTGTTCCATGTATTCTAAGTTATGTTTAAATTCTTCTTCAAAAGTTTCTCTTTCTTTTCTGATTTCCTCAGTTCTTCCATCTGTGTTCTATTGGGCGGGGCTTGTCATTTCTTTAATTAATCTCTTTATATCTTGCCTCACTTGGATCAGGAGTACAGCTTTAAATTCATCTATGAGGTCATGGAGGTATTTTTAAATTTTGTCTGATGCTGTGTCCAGTATTGGATGGTTACTGTGCTTGTTCTTTTCATGTTTATTTCTCCTGGGCTTATTTTCTCGTGTTGGGCAGCTGGAGATTTTTTTTTAAAATTTTTATCTCTTGTCATGTTTCTGATTTCTTTCAGACTGAAGTGACCTGGGGGGTCTCTGGTCCTCTCTGTATTGCTTAGGGCCTTTCAGAAGCGTGCTGACTTGATTTTTGCTGTCTTCCCCAATTTGCTGTTATCTGGGGTAGGCAGGGATGCAGTGATGGTGCAGGCTAGCCTTCAGCTTCTGTGACAGTCAATTGTAAGTTAGGCTGTACTTTCTGGATGTCACTGAGTTGTGACTATTTTGTACCTGCTTATTGGGCCCCAAGCAGAGGCTTGGTTTGGCCCCAGCAGATCCTGCCAGTTCTCTCTGTGCCAGAAGCAGCTGACTAATGTCACCATGGCACAGGGTTCTGCCCCAATCCCAGCTGTTCTCATCCAGACCTCTCTGTGCCAGGAGCACCAGGAGAGTGGGTATACCCAATTCCAAGATGTCTTCCACTAGTTCTCTGTATGATGCTGAAGCCAACACGGCACCAGGCTCTGCCCAATTTCAAGATGTCCTCCACCAGACCTCTCTACGCCAGGAGTGACTCGGTGATGTTACCGAGCCGCAGGTTCTGCCCAACTCTAAGATGTCTTCCACCAGACTCTCTGTGTTATTGATGTTGCCATGGTGGTGGGCTCTGCCTGATTCCAAAATGTTCTCTGGCCAACCACAGCAGCCCTTGGACTCTGTCCCTAGTACTCACCAGAGCTCAGTGCCGGTCTTCCTCTTGAGTCTACTGCACACTAGAGCGCTTGCCTTCACTGCGTTCCTGGCACAGCGTGGAATGGTCAGAGAACTGCACAGCATTTGGCTTCTGAGCTCCAGAGCTTTTCACAATTTCCTCTGGTGCAGCAGGGCAGTCCTGGCTGCTTCGTGGGGTCCCAGGTCTCAATTTCCAGCAGTCACCAAAAGCCAACACAGCTTTTCCCGTTGGGTCCACTGGTCAGTTTGCCGCATTAAAGGCACGGGATTTGCAGCCTCCTGTTATCAGCCTTCGCAGTCTCAGCACGACTTTAAATCCTCCAGCTGCGCTGTCTTGGTTAATAAGAATAATTATCCATTCATCTGGCCCTCTCCATGTTGTCATATTCTAGCATCTAATATGATTTCTCCGGAGAGACTCTCAGCCCGATCCCCTAGCAAGCTGCCATTTTTTCTTCCTCCCTAAAGTACTAATTTTAATTTCATACTTTTAAGACTGAAAAACAATGATTCTGAAACAATAAAATATGAAGAATTAGCTACACAGAATACAGTGGATATTTAAGCTATTTCATTCTTACTACCATACATCAAAAACACATGTACTTGAAGTTTTAGTCTATAGATAACATACTTCATAAGGTTGTTTTTCATTTCAAGTAATACAAAATTTTACAAAGAACATTTAACTTAAATTTCATAGTTGCCTACAAATGGTGCATGCAAGATTGATCTATATAGACCAGGTATTATGGCACACACTTGTAATCCTAGCATTCAGGAGGCTGAGGCAGGAGGATCACCATGAGTTCGAGGCCAGCCTGGGCTACAAAGCCAAACTCTGTCTCACAAAATCTAAGAAGATTGATCTATAAAAAGAAGTGAATATCTTGTCAAAAGAGATGGTAAACTACAAATACAAAATATATCATAAAATATATGTAATGTTAAAATCTTCATAGTCTCCTATAGGAAAATCAACAAAATCCATCTTTCTGTGAGGGGGAATATTTAGCACTATAAATTTAAATTATTAATAATAGAGTCAAGGAAATAATGGAGAAGAAAAAATTCTGGCAAGGTGGATAAAGTTATAGCTTCAAGATTTCTGAAAAAAATGCCTTTGGATGCCAAGACCTAAATATTCAGTGATAGTTGCCAATAAATGAAAAAGTAAAAATTAACTTTTGGATTTGATATACACACACTCAAAAGAATATTATTATTTTTTTTCACAATGTAAATGATTATACATCAATGAGAGATTTAAATGTATTCTTTTCAAAATGTAATATTTTAGAGTGCATTGGTGTAATTTAAGAGAATAGTACAAAATAAAATGAATGTTCTTGTTGGGGTTAATTAATTATACACCTATTTTTATGAAACATATATACTTTTTTTGTCTTTTTTCTTTTTATTGGTACTGGGGATTGAACTCATAACTGCCTGCTTGCAAGGCAGGTGCTTATGCTGCTGAGCTAAACCTCCAGCTCCCATATATACTTATTTAACATATCATAATGTAAAAATTTTTCAACCTTTTGCCAAGGACAGGTTTAAAATATATCAGAAAATGAAAAAGAAAATAATGATTAATCA